TTTTCTATGTGTGTGTGTCATTATACAGGCCCACGGGCTCTCTCTCTCTCTCTCTCTCTCTCTCTCTCTCTCTCTCTCTCTTATCTCTTCAAACATAGTTGGTCAGGTTATTCTTGTAATCTCCGCCTTTGTTCCAGAATTGGCTCCACCTTTTTTCTTGGATCTATTTTGATTTTGAAACAAAAAATTAGAATCCATCATTGGAATCCATCAATGTATCAATTAGGCAAAACAAACGAAAAATATGTTTCCGGTTTTTTTTTTGTTTGTTTCTCATCATCAACAAAGTGGATGAAAGAAAAGAAAATCTGTGAAAAATTTTCTTAAAAATTAATTGTTGTTGATGTTCTGTAAATGTTCGGTAAATTTACAGAAACTTTTGAAAAATTTTCCGAAGAAAAAAAAAACTTCGATGAAGCAACATCGCAATCGCCAACAAGAAACAACGCATAATCATCATCAACGATTATTCTATGTCCGCTTGTTTTCGATTCTGCGTCCAAAAATTGGAGAAAAAAAAATTTTTTTTTGAATCGGTTGTTGATCAACGGTATATAAAAGGAAAACATACAAAGAAAATTGAAGAAAAAATAAAAATCGGGCGCGAATGATGATGATGATGATCATGGTAAAAAAAGTGAATTGAACAACAACGATACTGAAATTTGACAAAAAAAAACAATAAAAATTTATCATTAAAAATCAATCAATCGAATCAGATCGAATCAATAATCGAATCATCATTTAGTTTTCGAAAATGTCATCAAGAAAATCATCATCATATTCCATGTCAAATGATTGGCCATCATTATCGTGGCCATCATTATGGCCAATGTTGAATCAACAACAACAACATTGTTATCAGCTAAATAATAATCATTATTCAAATAAACGTTTTATATTAATGATTGGTTGTTTATTATCAATATTATTGAATCAATCATCAATTTTAATGGTTATGGCAACAACAACAACAACAACAACTACAAATCAACAACAACAACAACAAATTGATGATCAATTGGATAATTTATTTTCAAATCAAAAAATTGTAAGTGAAAAAAAAAATCATTTTTTCTTCTGTTTCAAGTCATATTTTATCATCATTGATTTTTCAATGCTTTTTTTTTTGGTTGTTGTTGATCAGCTTAAATATTTTTTTTGTCAAAGATAAAAAAACATTAATGCTGTTCCAGAATTTTCCATTCATTTATTAAAAATTAATGATTTTGTTTTTTAAATTTCAATGAAATTCTGGTTATCTTCGTTGAAAAAAAAACAGCAGCAGGAAAAAGAATCAAACAAAACGGATTTTTTCTATTAAAAAAAAATCTTACCTGCAAAGCAATGTTAATTACAAGTGTTTAATTATAATCATCATTATCATTAAAGGTGTTTATCACAGAACAAAAACACACTTAACACACACACACACACACAGAGAGAGAGAGAGAAGAACCAAAAAGGAAATCATTAAAGAACCTTTTGGTTATTTTAAAAGAAGAAAATCCCAAAAATTAATTCAGCAAAGCAAAAAAAAATTTCCAGTAAAAGTCAAGTAAACATCATCATTATCTCAATTTAGATTAACTTATTGAAAAGTAGTAGAATAAAAGTAGAAAAAAAATTTAAAGAAATTTTTCCAATGAAAAATTGGATTTTTTTTTTCCTGTTTTTGAAATTTTTTAAAAAATTTCATTACAGATAATGTCCATTGGGGTTAAGTGTAGAGAGAGAATCCTCTCTCTCTCCCCGTTGGCAGGAAAAAGTTTTTAATTCAGTTTTTTTTTGTTTTGTTTTGAACATCCAGATAAACAACCAAAATGAAGAATTCCCATTCATTAATACCATACCCATACATTATATTCATTATTGATTGGCGAAAAAAAAAATTTGAAAATTTTCAAATTTTCAAATTTTTTTCAAAAACCAAAAAATTCTTCTTGTTTGTTCCCCCCCACCACTTCATTTTGTTTACATTACAACCCTAAACACCAACAGCAACAAAAAAACATTATGGAAACATTTTTTTTTTTTGAATAATTAACCAAAAAAGAGAAAAATTTTTTCTTGTTATTTTTTTGGGCCATTGACAAACAAACATAATAAACACACAGATATTTGTTATCTCTCCAATGGATGGATGGATGGGATGGGTTTTTTCAAATTTTTTTTTTTTGTTGAGAGGATTCAAAGGATTATAGCCAATATAGGAATTTTTCATTGGAAGTTTTTTTAAAAATAGCAAATGTGTGTGCAAGAGAGAGAGAGAGAGAGAGAGAGAGAGAAAGAGAGAGAATCACAGAATTTCATTTGAATCTTTGGATTTGAATTGAGATTTTTCTTTCTTTTTTTTCGCGTTTGAAAAAATTGCATGATCTATGATGATCTGTGATGGGAAAATGAACAATCCTCATCCAAATCAATTTTTGATGGAAGATTGTTTGTTTGTATTTGCAATGAGATTTGCCCAATTGAATTTTGTTTATTCATTGGAATTTTGGTTTTTTTTATATCGACCATCGTCGTGTTTTGTTTGCTAGAAAAACTTACCTATCTTTCTTTCACTTTCTCCCTTTTTTCTAAGCTTGATTCAACAAAAGGAACACCAACATCTTCATCATCATCATCATCTTCTTCTTCATCACCATCATTATCATCGTCATCACCATTATCAACATCGACGACATACAATCAACCGATCAATAATATTATTATACAAGAATTATTAAAACAATCCAACAACAACATATTACAACGTTTGGATGGTCAACAATTTATCAATATATTTGATCGATTAATGGATGGTGAGCTTACAAGGATTATTGAACAAATCAAATCTAGTAAGTGTGTTTTGTGTTTGAGACATTCAGGACATTTTGAGTCGATTTCAAAATATTTTTCTTCTTCTTTTTTTTTGAACATAGAAAATAACAAATTCAATTTGATAACACCGAACAAATTGACAGCCAAGCAATATATTAGGTATGTCTCTCTGTGTTTTTGGTTTCAAATCTTATTTTTTTTTCATTTGTTGACATTTTTTCTTTTTTTTTCACTTTCACAATTAGTATTTTGGATAATTATAGTTCCGGTGAGGTTAGTGCACGTTTAGCATCCATTTTTTCATCATCGCCATCATTATTATCGTTGAATAATGTTGTTGGTGGTGGTAGTGGTAGACGTAATCGTCGATCATCATTTGATTCAATGACAGGTTTATCGATCGGTTATTCTAAACGAAGGTTTGTGTCATTTGCTTTTCATAATGATCATTTTCATCAATAATTTTTATCGAATTTTGTATTTTCATTCGATTTCAATAGATTCGATCCAATGATTGGTTTATTACCAACCAAACGTGGAATGAATTTCGATGAAATGGATCATTCTGGTTTTGCTGGTTTTGCTAAACGTGGTATAGTTGATTTTGATGAAATGGATCATTCAGGTTTTGCTGGCTTTAATAAACGTCGTTCAGCCGATTTTGATGAAATGGATCATTCAGGATTTGCTGGTTTTTCTAAACGTCGTAATTTTGATGAAATGGATCATTCGGGTTTTGCTGGTTTTGCTAAACGTTTTAATGATTTTGATGAAATTGATCGCAGTGGTTTTAATGGTTTTGCTAAACGTTCAGCAAATTTTGATGAAATTGATCATAGTGGTTTTGCTGGTTTTGCTAAACGTAAACAACAACATGGTTTTGATTTTGATGAAATGGATCGTTCGGGTTTTACTAATTCATTTGCAAAACGTTTAAATTTTGATGAACTTGATCGTTCGGGTTTTAATAGTTTTAAAAGATTTTATTTTGATCCAATTTCATATCGTTGGTCATTGAATGATTTAAAATTTTTTAAACAATTTGCCAATCGACCATTAATTAAACAACAACAACAACAACAGTAAATATTTTGTTTGTTTGTTTCTGTCAATCAAAAAGGAAAAAATTAAAAATTATTTTAAATTTACAAAAAACAAAAACAAAATTAAAGAAATATCACCTGAACACACACACAACATATCCAACATTAACCAAGAATTATTTTGCAAAAAATAATCTTCACCAACAATCTTCACTCACCTTGATAAGCACCAACAGATCACACACCAAACAAACAAAACATTGAAACATCCAAAAAACCCCCAATATTTTTGACCTCGAAACCAGAAAAAAAATTCCAATTGTTAATTAATTAATTATTTATAGATTTTTGATGATGATGATGATGATTTAATTTGAACAAAAAAAACGAAAAAAGGAAAGATTTTAAAAAACAAAAATTGTTGTTGTTTTTTGGTTTGATCAAATTATTTTGAATTCGAACGTTTTTTTCGTTCGATTCGAACGTTATTAAATTCGTTCGATTTTTTTGCTGGTTTGAAAACGTTCGATTTTTTTTCTTTTCGTTCGATTTTTTTTTTGGTTTGGATTTGTCATGGATGGTTTTAGTGTTATTTGTTTGTTGATAATTTTTTTACAATTAATAATAATTTCATTGGGTAATTTTCATTTTCAAGATAAACATCATTATCATCAACAAGCAACGGTTAATAATCAGATTAGTACGGTTAATCCGCATGCATTTATGATCAGAATGCGTAAGTTAAGTTTTCTTGATTTTTTTTTTATTTTTGCTTTTAAAACAATTTTTTTTTCTTCAAAAATTTTGTTTGTTTGTTTAGATGGATTTTTACCAATATTTCTTGGATCAATATTATTTATCAGTTTGTTTACCATAATGCTTATATTTATGTGGGGCTGTAATTATCATGATCCATTATTAACACATTCATCATTTGAATTAAGTGTTTCGAATGAAGAAGGTAGACGAAGACCAATACGGCCAACAATATTATCAATAAAAAATAAAATGATTAAAATGAAACGAATGATGAAAACAAATCAAACAGATAATAGTCAATTAAGTAATCGAATGACAACAACAACAATACCACCATCATCATTATTATCTTCATCTTCATCTTCATCATCAACAGTACAACCACCATCATCAACAACAACAACTGAAGCTACAATAACATCGACAACAACAATGTCAAGTAAAGATTCATTATATGGATCAACAAACAAAACTAAAATGGTCTAATAAGAATCTTTTTTTTAAAAAAATGTTGGTAATTTTTTTTTGAATAAAAAATGAATAAAAATTTTGAAGAAAAACAAAAAAATTTTTCACAACCGGAATCGAACGATTAATATGCCGCCATCTATTGAATGTGAAAATTGATGTTTTTCCTTTTTTTTCATCATCAATAAATTCATCATCATAAAATCGAAATGAAAGAAAGCTTGAAACAAAAAAAATGTTTTTGATTATTGTTTTTGAAATATAAATGTGGCCAGAATATATATAGATAAGATAGCCACAGAAACACAAGTTGAGAACAACTGGAATTGATTTTTTTTTTCATTTTAAGATGTATATGTCGTACGTGCGCGTATCTCGGTGTATGTGTGTGTGTTTGACATTGAACTTAGCCTGAATTTTTTTTTCTGTTTATGGGTTTCACAATCGATTCGAATTCACGTTAAAATTCACGTATACCCACCACACCATCATAACACTATATATATAGAATGTTCTTTTGCACTTTGCTTCCAGAATTCTTTTTGTGTGTTAAATTTTTTTTTCTCTATAAAAGAAGAATTGTGGTAGAAGCATAGCCAATGTCCACCAACCAACCATAATATTTTTTTGTTTTTACATTTACAATTTGTTTTTCTTTGATTTGTCCGCTATAAGTTATTGTTGGTTTAACACCATAGCATCAACAGCAGCTAATTTTTTTTTTTTTTTTGATTAAAACACTGGAAATGTCTATCCAATTCCAAAAAGATTATTATTGATAAAACAAAAATTCCCCTAATCATCATCATCAAATATCATAACCCTAATCATCATCATCATCATTCGAATGAAAGATTTTTGAGAATTTTTTTCAACACACAAAACAACACAAAATTCGCCAACATTTCATTAGAAAAAAAANTTGATTTGTCCGCTATAAGTTATTTTTGGTTTAACACCATAGCATCAACAGCAGCTAATTTTTTTTTTTTTTTTTTTGATTAAAACACTGGAAATGTCTATCCAATTCCAGAAAGATTATTATTGATAAAACAAAAATTCCCCTAATCATCTTCATCATCATCAAATATCATAACCCTAATCATCATCATCATCATTCGAATGAAAGATTTTTGAGAATTTTTTTCAACACACAAAACAACACAAAATTTCGCCAACATTTCATTAGAAAAAAACAACAGCCATTTTTTTCTCGTTGTTGCGATACATTAAAAACAACATACATCTTTAGTGAGCGAAAAACACACACACACATCAAATCACATCACACCACAAACGAGCCGTGCAACATCTATATCCATACATACATGTAATGAGTGAGCAAATCACAGATACAAAAACAAAAAAAAACGTCAACACATTCGAGCTACGTAAAAACGAAAAAAAAACATTTTAACACAATTCAACTTGATGATTAATTTGTTCTGAAAAAAAATATGATCAAAAAATATTTGTTTCATTGATATCAAACACCCGATATAAATAAATATAAATCGTTATCGTTGTTGGCAAAACGGAAATTGTCGAAATCACAACAAAACAAAAAAAAGATCATATTTGATATTCGGTTTGGTTTGGTTGGAAAAGCCTTTGATTTTTCTCAGACGACGAAGAAGAAAAAAATGAAAAGATATTTCGATTTATGATAATTTCTTTTCAATCAATATCGAATCATTTTTTTTGTTTGGTACATCATTCATCATTATTACGCAACATTGAAGATTTTTTTTTTTTTTTTGTACAATTTTATCATCGATTTGGTCCAAATAATCATCATCATCTTTATACTTTGACAATTACCCCCCATTTTCAACATATCAATCGAATATTTTTTTTTTTTGTTCTGTTGTTAGCTGTCAACCAAATTTTTGCTTTTTGTAAAGACAAGTTAGAGAGGGAAAGAGAGAGAACGAGAGATTTGCTGTAACACACACACACACACCAATAATATCTGTAATTTGTAGTTTTTTTCTTCAAATCTTTTAAATTTTTTTTTTGTAATTCAACTTTCATATTTTTATTTTTCTTCACCACTATCCTTGATTCCGAAAAATTTGATTTTGTTTCCCAGACAAAAAAAA